CAATTTTCCGTTTTATGCGTCTATTTTAATGCCAAACAGTTTTTTTTATTTTTTATTCAAAGTGACCAACAAATGAACATTTGTTTTGATATCTATTCAAATAAAGACCATAATTCTTATTTTTCTGAATATGAAACACTTGGTCCTTATCGTATAGTCTTTTATACAGGGCCTAGTAAGTGAATCAAAATTAGATGCATTCGACATGCCATTTTATGATCCGAACGAACAAGAACTCAAGGAAGTAATTCGAAACGAGGGATCTTTTGAAATCAATGGCTTGGAGACTCATGGATTCGATCTTGGTCATAGTAACTGCGACAATGGCGAAGAAGATGACGATGAAGCAGGATACAATGAATCCAATTGTATAAGAGCCGTTACTGAACCAATGCTCGTTGCTCACTTTGGAGGAGACATCATCGATATCTTGTTTGATAAGTATGCGCATCATGTGACTAAGCATATGAGCTGCAAAAACAAAACGAGCGTCACTCTTGTTGTCTCGTTGACTAAGACATAACCAAACTATTGTGGTGTAAACAGAGTCGCGCCTGAGAATTCTGATATTACAAGCAAGAGAAATTTTTTGGCCCCCTTAAACCCTTTATTAAAAATTCTGTAACAAAAAAAAAACTAATTTTAAACGATTCTTTTATTTATAGCGCAGTTCCTTTCCTATATTATTTCAGTTTTGTGGATGTGGGACAAATAAGACCTAGTTTTTTAAAAAATGATGAATAATTGACGTCTTGAAGAGGCGAACTCGGAAGCAAAGGCTTCATTAGCTCGGCTCTGGGTGTAAATTTTGTACTTAGCACTCGTGTAATGATGTGATGACACTCTTGGAAAGTAAAATTGTGACTGTATGTTTTGTTTTAAGGCCATCTTGTTAATAAGTCAGATCTGGAATATTAAATGGTTAAATAATAGTCAATTTGATGGTTTTCGTTTATGATGTCTATATATAACCGGTTGAGATGCTAAATCTGTTGGTTCATTCTCTTTTGATTGTAAGTAACAACAACTAAGAAGCAAAAAAAAAATGTGATATTATAGATTGCAAAATTAAGTTTAGATACTAATAGATAAATAGATCAACGTCTGCTGGTTTACAAAAAAAAAAAAACAAGGATAATAGATCATGGGCCTTTTTTTTAATCAAAGTTTAAAAACATTACAAAAAAAAGACTGGGTTGGACCCAGAGTGGTCGCCGGGACTGATCACAGTCTTCTTCCTCTCCTTCCACCCTTTCTGCGTGTACTGTCGGTGGGAATTGGAGTCACATCCTCTGCGAAGAGACATTCAAAAGAAAGATTGCGTGAATAATCAAAAGAAACAAATCTTCTACAACAAGACAAATAAAAGGTACAAGAGATTCAGTCAGTTGAGTTTACCTATACGGCCAATCTTCATGCCTGAACGAGCAAGGGCTCTGAGAGCTGATTGAGCACCAGGACCTGGAGTCTTGGTTTTGTTTCCTCCAGTGGCACGCAGCTTCACGTGCATGGCTGTGATGCCTAGCTCCTGTCACATATTGCATTATATATTATTAGTAAGGGAATGAATGAACGAACATACTGCACAGAGGCCGAGAGTACATGATGAATATTGAATAAATTATCTGACCTTGCATCTTTGAGCAACATCTTGAGCTGCAAGCATAGCAGCATAAGGAGAAGACTCATCACGGTCAGCCTTGACCTTCATCCCACCTACATACAAAAACGTGTAATTTTGTTTTTTTGAGGAACAAACTCGCAGAATCCTCCTACATTCTAGATCAGAGTCTACACTAGGGAATTATTCAAACATAAACAAGGACTACTAAGAGAGAACATACCAGTGATACGAACAAGGGTTTCTCTTCCGGACAGATCAGTCACATGCTGCAAGAACAAATTTTTGAAAGAAATGTCATAAAAATGTTACTACACACAGGAGATTATAAATACTTATAAGTCGTGAAGAAAGAAGAACACTTACGATGAAAGTGTCATTGAATGATGCAAAGATGTGAACAACACCGAAAACTTGCTCTCCTTCACGAACAGCAGGTCCGAGAGTGACATTTTCCTCCTTGGGCTCTCTGGTCTTTCTCCTCGACTGTAAAGAGAAAATAGCAAAACGAATTTGAGAAACTGATCGTTCACTGGTCTAACACTCAATGACTGGGACACAACCCATCACTTCAAGTTCACTACTCTATTGTCCCCATACGTCTACACTATGGATCAGACAACAGACGATCAATCGCACAATTACGCATAGCTCAAACATATAATTAACACAGAACTCCGATTGCGGCTAGAGTTTATTCGGTTCACGAACCGAAACACAATTTCATCAATCCCAGCAAAAATTTCACATTCGGAATCTAAAATAACCTATGTAAAATCTAAGAAATGATCTCAGCACAGAGTTCTGTTCCATACAGACTAACGAAAGCTACCTTCTCCGAAACAGATGATTGATGGAGAGAAGGAGCTTACCATGTTGACAAATGGATGAGGAAAGTAGAAGCGCTTCGGAGTTTTTAGGATGTTCTTCTCTGGAAGCTGGCAGTGGAAAGAAACGAGGACATAATATCGGCGCTACAAAACTACTTTATAGATTAGGGTTACATCGGAAACCTCAAGAGAAAATGACGTAACTACCCTCAGCACCTGGAATTCACAGCTACGTCGTCGTTTTAGTCCTTGTACTGATCTTTTTCTCTACCAGCAAAATTTGCAACACTTTCTCAATTCTCAAATTTCTTATACGAAAATACCATTGTTTTAAGCTTTGATTAACGAACAATGTTGATAAATTTAATGTGACAGCTTCTATCGATCGTCCCTCATGTGGAGAGAACAAAGAAAGTTTTCCACATTCATATCATAAATCGAATTTGACAGAGTTCTAAAATATGAAACAAAGGCCAAAACAATTATAAAAACAGAATTCATTTCATATCTGGTAGAGTTGTTTCGATTTTTTGTTACAATGTTGCAGGCAACATTATTAACTACCCTTACAACGAAAATAAAATGCAAAACCCAAGAACCCAAGAACAGAGAACCAGCAACTTTAAGGAGGTCTAAATGTTAAGACAAAAGAGACTTGGCTGGCGAAACCAAAGCAACAGCACATCTTTCCGGCTTCGAATACTTCTTGAACACAGCGCGTAGCTTGCTCTCCCCAACTCTCGAGTGAATAAAAGCTAGAAGCTTTGCGCAATCCCTACAAGACACACATACACATAGACAGAGAGAATTCAGTACATGATGATAGTGATGAGTCTAAACTTAAGAGAGAAAGACTAACATGAGCTGATATCCAGAGTAGCCTGTGTGGAATTTCAGAGTATCGGTCCAAGCAGGGGTCTTGTTCAAGAAGCATCTCGCAGTGTAGACTGCTGAAGCAGCGAGCATAGAAGGGCAGAACATTAAAGTGTCGTAGTGCATCATACCCAACTCAGCTAAGAAGTGAACCATGTTCTCCGTTTCCGGGTCAGATACCGCAGCTTTGATGAACCTCACAAGGAACACATACTGTGTTGGAACTGTCAAGTACCATTCCAGACTTCCCAAAATGGTTTTCTCCATCACTAGAATTTGCTTGTTGTTGTACGAGTTGTCTGTGACATATACCAAATCATAGACCTGTTCACACCACAAAACCCATTCACATGGTTAGCTCTAGCTGACAATAATCTTGTAGCATTAGTATATATATATATGTGTGTGTGTGTGTTACATACCTGAGCAGGCCAGATTTCTTCATACTTCGAAGCTATGAGCAGAGCACTAACACCTAGAAGCTGTAGTTCTCTTTTAGGTACAGTTTTGAGAGACAGGAAACGATCAATTATGTTGATGGTGAGGTAAAGAGTCTCAGGGGACAGATCCAACTTGATGTTAACGTCTACAAGCCAGTCTACAAGAATTGATCTCATCTTCTCATTAATCTCTGGCTGTGTTTGCATATAACTTTGAGGCATGCTCTCATTCTGCAACACATAAGAAAACAACAAACTTCAAGAAGCATTCACAATACTGGTCCATAAGCATATTATTACAATAGGGGTTGTGACCAAATTACCTCAACTTCTTTGTAGAAAGTGTACATGTCCTCAACATACTCCACAGCAGCAAGGTCATTGTCTTTGTCGACAGAGTCAATATCCAGAGCCTTGGAAGCAGCCTAAGTGTGTAAACGACGCAAACAAAACATTCAGGACACAGTCTAAGAAACATTGCCAGTTATGTTTTCAATGTCAATCACAACAACAAAAGATAAAATATATCAAAGAATCTACCTTGCTTCGAGCATTGAGAACCGAAGAGTATGTCACTTTCTTCGTGGACTCATCGTTTCTCTTATCCTCTTTAGCTTTTGCAATCTCGTTCGTGTCAGGACTGATCACAATCACTTCAATATTAGGTTTTAATGGCTGTCGCTTAACAGCTCTTCCTTTCTTTTGAACTGCCCGTACAGCTTCTGGTTTCTTAGGCACAACCTGAGCTCCATCAAGAACTGGAGCCTTGTCGACATTGGTTTGCTGTTTTAGTAAGGAAGATAAGACAAAAAAACAGATTCAACAATCATAAGTACTCTTCTCTTAAAACAAGATTTGGAAAAAACAAATAAAAAACGAACCTTTTTATTAGCGGCGGCTGCAACAGGTGCGTTTCCTAGCAATTGGGCACGGTAGTTACGGGTCAAGGGGCGATTAATCTTTCCTCCTTCAACTCCGGGAAGAGAATCAATGTTTCCGATGTCGCCGAGAGCGCGACGATTCTTTGCTGCTGCGTTTTTCACGTCGACGGGATCACCTGTTTTTAATCCACAGAAATTACCGATCAAAACCTATGACTCAATCTCTGATTTCACCAAATTCGAATATGTAAACAATCGAATCAGAAACCCATGATCTAATTTCACCAAATTCGAATATGTAAACAATCGAATCAGAAACCCATGATCTAAAATCCTCAATTATGATAAACCCTAGGGTTAAAGAAAAAAAGGACTGGTTAATGAATTGAACCTCTGAGTTGTTGAGGAATAACTCGTCTCGTCGCCATAATCGTTCCTTTTCAATTGCTGTTTTCTTCAAACCTCTTTTCTTGTTTTGATTGTTCGCTGTAGAAAATCTGAAAGAATGTTTGAGAGAATGCTTCTTATTGACAAGGAAGAAGAGAGGAGAGGAGGAGCCATTAAAGAAACATTTCAACGGGCAAATTTTTGAGCGGGGTCGGATTTGAACCGTTAGATCGTTAACTTCAAATCCAACGGTGGATGAGGGAAGTGTAAGAGATTCTTAAGCGGTTAAAAGGTAAAGGTTTAAACGTTCTCACCCTAGTGATACCATTGTAATGTCTGGAAATTATGTGTAGGATAAATAAAGAAACGAGAAAATTTCACGCCATTATTTTTTTTTGTTCCCTTTCCCTTTAATGGCCACGTTGGAGTGTTAAATAACGTTTATTTTCCATTAATTTCCAGGTTTGGGTTTTCATTGGAATTAAATGAAAATTCCATTCTATAAATGGTTCTTATCTTTTTTGTTTTCACCAAAAAAAAAAAAAAATTTATTTCCATTCTATCTGTGTGCTCCTCGACGACGAATGGATTTGGATACCTAACAAAGTACACGTAAAAATTTAAGATTTGTCATTCTTGGCTCTTTTTTTTTAATATAAGTACAAATAAATATAAATTAATTCCACAAAAAAATTATAGTATGCTGATGTGATACTCGAAGCATCAGTAAGATATCCTTGATCGTGCTTCACATTTCTACTAATCAGAATTATGCCTAATTTTTGTATGTTGAACTATATCTTTTTTTCTTTTATAGTGGATGAAACCTAATTCTATTTAATAATGTTCAAAACATTTAGCGGATTGGGCCAAATACCATTTGACAATCGTTCTAGGCCTACTACATTGTTCTTTTTTTTTTTTTTTGGTTCGACATTGTTTAATTCCGTCTCTTCTCTACAGATTAATTTCATACAAGCCTTTAAACATTTTTTGGATACTTACAAAAAGTTTGACTTTAACGGAATTTGAATGGAAATCTTTTTCTTTAGTAATTTGAACCTGCTCAATTCTGTTCGAGGGTGGAAATTTATTATTGCGCTTAATCCGGCGAGATCATGGTAACGTAGAACTTTATATTAAGATTTGAGATTCCCGGGGTTACATAATATCTGCTTTAATGGTGGATCCAAAATACATCTACTAATGCAACTTCACCATACACTAGAGTCCATAATTGAGTCACATTCACTTGAAAGCCAGTTTCATGCTTTTTTCAGCTTCTGGAAAATACCTCAAAAATAACAAGCTTTCAAGCGAATATGATTAAAAAGCATACAACTCTAGTGTTTTAGATAGCAAAAATGTCTAGAAGCTCCATACACAGGACATAGAGTCTCAAATGACGTAATCAGAATATCAGTAAGTAAAATAATTATGTAAGACTCATTATTAGAAAACACAACGACACCCTTATAATAAATAATAAAAAAACTCATCATTTTTCGAAATTTGACGAACCAAAAACACGAGTGTTAAAATCAAAGAAGACGAAATATTTAATTTGCATTCAAACAAAAAAACTTGGAGAAATGGAAATGTCAGAGGAAAATTGCCAAATAGAGTTTTTGAGCTCATAATGAAACCATTCGCACATCTAATTGAATCATCATTCAAAACCATTCCTCCAATTACAAAGAGAATCCAAAAAAAAAAAAACACGATAAAAAAAATCAGTGAAGATGACGGCGAAGTCAGATTAATTGCCAAATTAAGTTTTTAAGCTCAAAATGGAGAAACTCTCCATTCGCACATCTAATTAAATCATCATCCTCGCCGTTTCGAATTCAAAGAAAACACCAAATAAATCAGAAATACACTCTCAGCAACAGAACGAAATCAACACAAAACAAGATAGGAAAACCCTAAATTACAGAGATTAAAACCCTAGAAGACGGCTAAACTATTTCTGAGATGGAATGTGATACGGGAGGATAATATATGAAGGGAGAGTCCGGGTGAAAATACGCATCTACCCTTATCGGGCTCAATCGTAAGCCATGGGCTTTTGTTTTTTGGATCGATTAAATAAATAATGTTATTCCCTAAAAGGAAATGGGTTTTGGATTATATATCTGAAGGGCCTTGATCATTTTAATTTTGCAGTGATATTGACGTTGCAAAGTGGTGATACCTTCTTGTTCGTGAGGTTAAGATTGGATAGAGGTACAAAGACGATATTATAGAGAGGTACGAAGAGAATCACATCTGTTTTTACTTGTTCCAAGAGGTTTTTATAAGAAACACAAAGCATCACATTCACGAGATGGATAAACATTTTTTTTTACAGACACTAATTGATACAAAAGCTTTACAAAAGAGAAGAGAAAAGAAGAAGAACACAATACTCCCTAACATCGTTTTCTCGATCGCATAATAATAACATCATCTTCTTCAATCCTAACCCTCCTCTCTCTTTCTCATGCGAATCAGATTAGTAGATTACCAGCAAGAAACAAGCTCTCTGTTACCAATCATCATCGAGGCTAGCCCGGTGAAAACACATGACGGTGCATATGAATATAAAGAAGGATGTGAATTCTATGAGCATTGCACCGGTCTCAATCATCTGCGCGTGCCTTAAGATGATTGGAATCGCAAGGCTCCCCACGGTTGATGCTCCTGTCAAGAACTTAGCTGCATCTATCCACCTGCGTTTTAAGAACAAGCAATTTTCGGAAAACTGATGTTTTGTAGATTTTGAAACTAACAAGCCAAGCCCAGAGTAACTAACCCTCCACCATCTCGACTAGTTAGGAATTGAGTAGAGCCTCCTCCAAAGAACAAACAAGGCATAGGCACTACCACGTACATGAGTGCCGATAGCATTGGCCACCAATTACCATATATTGCACATGCCTGACCACCAAAAACAAAAACTTACCGCTATATTATTTCTCAGACGACTAGAATCTGTGTTATCCAGTAAGAAAGATATCATCACAAGGGTATGATAAACTTGTCAAATTTGTAAAATCTGATGAGCCTTTGCTTTTTTTTATAATAGAATTGCAAACGAAAAATTAGACCTATATAAATATGAGTTCAGGAGGGAAGATGCTTGGGTTTGGAAAAAAATTTCAGAGAGTCTAAGTCATTAGCAAGTTAGACACTGAGTTCACACCAGCAATGGCTAGCTTTTCTCGGTTATCTTCCTATAGCTACTATATGCATCTAAATAGGGTTGAATTTCCAGCTTAGCAGTTACTAACGTCTAGGTGGTGTGACAAGTAAGCGCATAAGTAAACAAACAAAATTGCTAATGTGAGAAGAATGATCTAAGCCTAGGCATACAGAAATTAAGCTAATTAGTTATGATATTGAGCAAGCACAGTTTACAGAATCAGGTTTAAAGAGTTTTAAGATGACACTGATATATTTAACCGTACCAGGATCTGAAGGAGGATACTAGATGAAAACATGAAGGCAAGCCCAGCAAGTCTGCACATCAAGAAACAAAATGTAAAAATCTCTGTAAAGGTCACGAAATTTCAGCACAAATGTAACAAGAGAGTAATATACGAAGAGCTTCAAGAGTTATACTTACACTGTACCAAAACAGCAATTTGAGCATTCCAGAAGAAGTCAGCATCGGGATTCGGGACATACCAAAAAAAACAACAAATAGCAAAACAATCAGTGAGTTGGAATATTTCAAAACGCAGAAACCCTAGCACACAAAATCAAAAAATCATGAATCTTTAACAACCCGCAATCTGGGTAAATCAAGGCTCAAAACCCATGAGCAAACACTAATAAGAACGTTTTCGATTTCCATATACAAACGTACTGAAGATACGAGCACGAAGCAAGAAGAAATGGACAAGGGGGAAATCCTCTCGAATCTGATTCGATTCCGCTAGGAAAATCAATAAAATAGAAAGAGAGCTGATTACCTTCAATAGTCATCGCCATGACGGCGACGGGAAATGTTCTGATTAACGGAGATCGACTCTTGACCGATCGCCGGTGACTGTAAAGAGGATTTCGTTGTTAACCAGTGAGAGAGAGAAGGGAGGAAATGGAATCGGCGATTGGGAGCAAAATCGAAACACCGTGTCAAAGTCGTCACTTACCCAAAAGTATAACCGGCCCAAATTGGTTTTCTTCCATCCGTTTGGTTTCCCGGTTTATTTTGGTTTGTAATTGGGTTTTTCAAGCTGTCGATTATTTTTAATGAAACTACAGTATAGATTTATGGTAGGCGACTAGGCGTAGCGTAACACCATACCGGCGTCGCTACAACTTTGATTCTAGCAGAGAAAACCCTAAAGATTCAAGCATGAGTATATCTCGTTACTCCATGCATATAAGAGGCGTGCCACTGGAGGCAAGCAGCAACAATGGCAGAAGAAGCGAAAGTATTGTCCAACAACAAGACTAGGTTGTAACTTGTAACCCAAATTTTAGCAATATCCATTTCAACTGTTGGTTTTGTTTCCTACACTATATAAGGTGTTATTTAACAAGTTTATTTGTTTTTGCGGTAGATAAGTCTGTTTGGATAAATCGGGAATATAACTAGCTAGCATAGTCCAATAGTTGACCAAAAACAAAATAGCATAGTGACTCCAATTATTACACAATGAAGTGACAAGTAGTTGCAACCACTAGTTGAGACAAAGTGATCGATCGCTAAACCAAGAAGCAGGAACGCGAAAGCAAGTGGACGCCGACACCATCCTAATCATTTGACGCCACTTGTGAAGCTTCTCTGTTCATCGCCCACTTTTCTTTGCACGCGAGAGTAATTTTGATATTCTGTGGATTTAAGCTTCTCTGTTCATTACAAGAACTTTAATTTTAGTCCGTTAAAAAGAAATAAATTATGGGCATAGAAAGGTCGAGCCGCAAATTGTAGGTAAAATTATTTGCACAAGTCAAAATATTAACATTTATCATTGTTAAATGTTTGTTATCATAAGTTTTTTATATCATATTGTTTCGAATTCTTCTACCATTAGATAGGAAAAACCACAAACTTTGCTGTTTAACATTAAAATAATATTCGCTGCATTTTTATTAAATGACTGAGTTTCTGCCCCCTTTTTCGTCGACTATTTTCTGCCCTTTCTTAATTTCAAAAATATTACTACTATTTCCTATTTTGTCTGTTTTTGTTTTACATTGTCTGTTTTTTTTAAATAACACAATAAAAATAAAAAGATAAAAAAAATAATAAAGCCAGGAGAGCTAATCTGAGTCGTTGCCTCTGTCAGCTGGTTCGGACCGACGTCGTACCTTTCGCTTGTCTTGTCCCCGAACACACAGAGGCTACGCCGCCTCCGCCTCCGGTCCGTCCAATTCACGGCCAAGCGAACGACTTCGCCGCTTGGGCTTGGGCTTGGCTTGTGAGAGGTATAATAAATCCCTAAGTTGCTACTTACTGATCAACGCTTTCTGTTTTCGGAGGAGCGAGGCGGAGATCAGCATCTCTTATATGTCTACTCGCTGTTATCATCATTCCTCCTTTTCTTCTTCTTTAGCCGCTCGATTTCCTCTCTAGCGGCTGCTTGCTTTCATCGCTGCACAGACAAGTTCCTCCTCTTTCAGTCTCTGCGGTAAGTTTTTGTTAAACCCTAATTATCGCATTCATCTCTTGTGTTTTTGACTCTCGATTGCGGGATGCATTCTTCTGCGTTATTCGGCTCTTTTGGTTTCGTTCCTATGGTCTATCCTCTTTTCGCTCATTTCTACTTTGGTTTAAAGCTTGGATTTTTCGTGTCTCTTTAGTGAATCTTCTCCGATTGTGTGATCTTAGGGTTTTCGAATTGAATGTGATAAGGTTGGATTGATATTGTGAAAGATCAATTCTTTAGCTTCTTGGGAGCTTTATTTTTATGTCAATGGTGAAAGATTTAATTTTTCTTCTTGTTATTGTTTCCTTGAAGGTGGATCAGCTTTTCGACTCAAGAAATGGTTGGGCTTGGAGATAATGCTGAGAGAGAGAGGTCACCAGTAGTAGAGAATGGTTTTTCCAATGGATCTCGATCTTCTCCTACCACAGATGTTTTGTCTCCATCACGAAAGGCCACTCAAGGGAATGATACGCTTTCTTATGCCAATATTCTTCGGGCAAGAAACAAGTTTGCTGATGCGCTTGCTCTCTATGAGACTATGCTCGAGAAAGATAGCAAGAATGTTGAAGCTCACATTGGCAAAGGGATATGCTTGCAGACGCAAAACAAAGGGAATTTAGCTTTCGATTGTTTTTCCGAAGCAATCAGGTTGGATCCGCATAATGCTTGTGCACTCACGCACTGTGGTATACTTCATAAAGAAGAAGGGCGCCTCGTAGAAGCTGCGGAGGTGTGACATTACCTTCCCCTCTACCTGTGCTGATTAGTTTGTTAACTCGATGATACGCGATAGATAGCGTTTTCTAGCAGGCCAATTTCTAACTTACAATCGTCATACTTTGCACAGTCCTACCAGAAAGCACTGATGGCAGATGCATCATACAAGCCAGCAGCAGAGTGTTTAGCTATTGTTCTGACCGACCTTGGAACTAGCCTGAAGCTGGCTGGGAATACTCAGGAGGGAATTCAAAAGTATTACGAAGCCCTTAAGATTGACCCGCACTATGCTGTATTCTTTCTGATCCTCTAAATTTTTCGCTCGTTTTATGTGGTTTGCCCTGGTACCATTTAACTGATCCTCTAATTCATAACATTAAAATTTCATTATGCAGCCTGCGTATTACAACTTAGGTGTTGTGTACTCCGAAATGATGCAATATGACAGTGCCTTGAGCTGCTACGAGAAGGCTGCACTTGAGAGGCCTATGTATGCCGAAGCATATTGTAATATGGGTGTCATCTATAAGAACCGTGGTGACTTGGAGATGGCAATCACTTGTTATGAGAGGTAACATATCTGTTATTTCATTGCTAAGTTTTGATTGGTGTCTTGCTGCTTGCTTTGTTGAAGGAACAAGTGTGGCACTGATTTTTTTTCTTCTTCTACCATTAGATGTCTAGCTGTATCTCCAAATTTTGAGATTGCGAAGAATAATATGGCAATAGCTCTGACAGATTTGGGAACAAAGGTAAAAATCCTTAACTTTTATCATAATTTTGGTAACGCCAGTAAAACTTTTCATAAGGGGTGCTTTCTGGAAAATTCGTTTAGTTTAGCTGGCTTTTTATTTATGTCACGGCATTGGCATTGGAATATGTTTCTATTCTTTACTAGTGAAGATTTCCACCATAGAATTTTGTTTTGCAGTTCACAGTTTTTTAATCCTTCTTTTGTCCATTGTGAGTACATCTGAGTTGACAATAATATTTCAGGTTAAACTTGAAGGCGATGTGAGCCAAGGAGTGGCATATTACAAGAAGGCTCTCTATTATAACTGGCACTATGCAGATGCTATGTATAATCTTGGGGTGGCTTATGGTGAAATGCTGAAGTTTGACATGGTATTTAATTTGTGATTTATTCATTTCTATTAGTCAGTAATTGTGTGCTTGTTTTTGCATGTTTATCCTTTCTTCGCCTCAAGACTTGCATGATATAATTATCTGTTGTCTTTGTCTCTACCTATATTTGCATCCTTCTCTCCATGTTCTTGTTATCAATACAATACTCATGTGCAGGCAATTGTCTTCTATGAGCTTGCTTTCCATTTCAATCCACATTGTGCTGAGGCTTGCAACAATTTGGGAGTACTTTACAAAGACCGTGACAACCTTGATAAAGCTGTGGAGTGTTATCAGGTATTATTTATGCGTATATGTGCAGCGTTTCATGATTATTTCATTGTCTTCTATGTGGCTAATAATACTCCCAACCTTTGTAGATGGCTCTATCAATCAAACCAAATTTTGCACAGTCGCTGAATAACCTTGGTGTCGTCTACACGGTCCAGGTTTGATATAGATTCAGGATGGCTCATCATTTTTCTTAATAGATTCTTCAGAGTCGAGAATGCTAATTCCTTTGATATTATAGGGAAAAATGGATGCTGCTGCCAGCATGATCGAGAAGGCCATCCTTGCAAATCCCACTTATGCAGAAGCTTTTAACAACTTAGGTTTGATTTCTCTCTTCTGTTCTCTACAAGCTTCCTTACGCGAGACCAGTGCTGGATAAACTATATTCCTATAGAGTTTTAGATTTACTTTTTTTTTTTTCCTACTTTCCTGGTGCTAAGTGTCGTTTATTTCATGAATGCGATTCAAATGTAGGTGTTCTTTATAGAGATGCTGGAAATATAACTATGGCTATTGATGCTTATGAGGAATGCCTTAAGATAGATCCAGATTCTCGCAATGCTGGCCAGGTAAATGCCTTTGCTATCTGCACTTTAACGTGCTCTTCTTGATATGACGATGAAAGATATACGCGTTTAAAACCTACCTTTCTGTTATGTAGAACCGATTGCTTGCCATGAACTACATAAATGAAGGACTCGATGACAAACTATTTGAGGCTCACAGGTTAACACAGACATTTATTAGTTTGGATTTGTTTTATGTTGCTTTTATGAGACTTGCAATAAGTAACTCTTATGAACACAGAGACTGGGGCTGGCGCTTCACAAGATTACACCCACAATACACTTCATGGGACAATCTGAAAGATCCAGAGCGACCTATCACCATCGGATATATCTCCCCAGATTTCTTCACTCATTCAGTATCTTATTTCATTGAAGCGCCCCTCACGCATCATGATTACACAAAGTATAAAGTGGTGGTCTATTCAGCGGTAGTTAAGGTATGATTTTTTCTTGAAAACATTCTCCTTATAGAAATTCATTTTCCGTCAAAGCAATTCATTTCCTTTCTTGTTTCCTTTTTGACCAATCCTTGCTCTCTCATGGCTTGCAGGCAGATGCAAAAACATATAGGTTTAGGGATAAAGTGTTGAAGAAAGGTGGAGTTTGGAAAGATGTATACGGGATAGATGAGAAAAAGATTGCAAGTATGGTTAGAGAAGACAAAATCGACATTTTGGTAGAACTCACTGGTCATACGGCGAACAACAAGTTGGGAACAATGGCCTGCAGACCAGCACCTATTCAGGTGAGAGGATAGATATAAAACTTTTTTTTTTTTGACTTTCCATTTCAAGTTTACTTTAGCTGGTTAAAATATCAGGTTACTTGGATCGGCTATCCAAATACAACGGGCTTGCCCACTGTTGATTACAGAATTACGGATTCGTTGGCTGATCCACCAGATACCAAACAGAAGTACGTTCTGGTTCATAACATAATGATTTTCTTGGGTATCGGAGTGATCCAAATGGAATCCTTGATATATATAGTTTTGTGTGTGTGTATCTGATTGCAGACAGGTCGAGGAGCTGGTTAGGCTTCCGGATTGTTTTCTTTGTTATACACCTTCCCCAGAGGCTGGTCCTGTTTGTCCCACACCCGCACTTTCCAATGGCTTTGTTACATTTGGTAGTTTCAACAATCTCGCAAAGGTTAGATATACTTTTCCTTGGATCATACACACTAACTAATCTCCCATGGTATCTCTTTTTAATGGTTTGACGGGTTTTTCTCTGCTTTTCTTCAATCAGATCACTCCTAAGGTGCTGCAAGTGTGGGCTAGGATACTGTGTGCAGTTCCCAATTCTCGTCTGGTCGTAAAATGCAAACCTTTCTGCTGCGATAGCATTAGGCAAAGGTTTCTCACGACGCTGGAGCAGCTTGGGTTAGAATCAAAGCGTGTTGATCTCTTGCCGCTGATTCTTTTCAACCATGACCATATGCAAGCTTATTCCTTAATGGATATAAGGTAAGATTTGACGCATTCTGCTACCGAAAAAGCGCTGAGACTAATAGATTTACATTTCATGCAGTTTGGACACATTCCCTTATGCTGGAACTACCACTACCTGTGAATCTCTCTACATGGGAGTTCCATGTGTTACTATGGCTGGTTCAGTACATGCTCATAACGTTGGTGTCAGTCTTCTCAGTAAAGTTGGTAAGCTCTTGGGTAAAGTGTGGTTTCTTTGACAAAATTGGTTATTTCTCGGGGACGTCTTTTGGCTTATGCAACCGTTTCCCTTGATTCAGGTTTAGGACACCTGGTTGCTAAAAATGAGGATGAGTATGTGCAGTTATCTGTTGATCTAGCTTCTGATGTCACTGCTCTTTCAAAACTGAGAATGAGTCTCCGGGATCTAATGGCTGGATCCCCTGTTTGTAACGGTCCTTCCTTTGCTGTTGCTCTTGAATCCGCATACCGGAATATGTGGAAAAACTACTGCAAAGGTGAAGTGCCGTCTTCAAGGCGAATGGAAATGCTGCAAAAAGAGGTTCAAGAAGATCCCTTAATATCAAAAGACTTGGGTCCATCAAGACTCAACGTTACTGGAGAAGCCACTCCTTCTCTCAAGGCCAATGGTTCTGCTCCTGTACCTTCATCTTTACAATAGCTGCTTCTGAACCGTAGAATTTAAAAAGTAATTTAGGGGCCATTTTGTATAAAGACTAGTTGGTTTGATCTATGAAAATTGTGTCATACTGTTATTTGCTAGTAATCATCTCATCTTTTATTTTTTATCAAACATTATATATTTATATTGTAGAATTAGCTTTTCCCAAAAAAAACGACATCTCCCCCTTACCATTTAAAGTGTACTACCAAATTCGAAAAACCTACATATTCTTTTTTTTTTTTTGTATATATCATGGAAGACTTAACACTACTAATTTACTAATTTATTTAGTTAAATCGACGGGCTTTTGACTTGCATTATTGTTTACTTATTATGTTGCCAACTCCATAATTAATTAGTGTGGAGAGAGTAAAAAGCAAGCAACTACTCTTCAATTCCCACTTCTTCTGCTCCATTGATTCCACCAAAACCCCTACGATTCCTATAAAAACCCAAAGCATCAAACTTTCCTTCACCACCAAAGCATCAAACTTTCTTTGATTTCCCCTTTTAAACCAACAAAAAAAGAGTAAAGTCTCAAGAACAAATCAAGAGAGATGAAGAACGAATCTACCATCATTGATGTCCCTGCAGAATCCAGCTCAGCCATGAAAGGCAAAGCTCCTCTAATTGGTGTGTCTAGAGACCACGCTACTACTGGGTCAGGTGGATACAAGAGAGGCATCTCAATCTTCGACTTCCTCCTACGTTTAGCTGCCATTATTGCAGCATCAGTGGCCGCTGCAACGATGTTTACAAGCGACGAGACCCTTCCCTTCTTTACACAGTTCTTACAGTTCCAAGCTGGCTACGACGATCTACCATCTTTCCAGTTACGACTTATCGATGTTTGATCAATTATACTGTTTTCCTTGTGAAACAAGTCACCTAATTAGGTCATGGTGTTATTTCAGGTTCTTCGTGATTGCCATGTCCATGATTGTAGGTTATCTCGTCCTATCTCTTCCTATCTCCGTTGTCACCATCGTTCGCCCTCTCGCCGCCGCCCCAAGACTCCTCTTACTTGTTCTTGACACTGTACATACTCAAATCTCTTCAATATTATTCAGTTTATAATCTTACTCAAGTTGTAACTGTTTTTTTTTTTCAAAATTCAAATGCATTTTTAGATTATCATAATATGTATATATATTGTGTTTTTGGGGACAGGCGGTTCTGGCGTTTAACACGGCGGCAGGATCATCGGCGGCAGCGATAGTGTATCTAGCACACAATGGAAACCAGAACACGAACTGGCTCCCTATTTGCCAACAGTTTGGTGACTTCTGTCAGAAAACCAGCGGAGCTGTCGTCTCTTCCTTTATCACGGTCGTCTTCTTCACCATCCTCGTTGTCCTCTCTGGTGTCGCTCTCAAGAGGCCTTAAATCCAAAACTCCTTAGTGGTTATGTGTGTTCATTATTGTCATGTCATGTCATGTGTGTAATTACTCATCCTGCCTTGTGTACGTTGTTGTATTGTGATTGTAGCTTTGTGGAAAAAAAGAAACGAAATGATTTTCCTCAAATTTCATCTTCTTCAATCTTACATATTGTATTTAGAAAATGTCTCCTATGCATAATTTTGCTTGCCTGTCGTCGTCGTCGCCTTTTTATTTTAATATCCCGAAATTCCGAGAAACGATAATGCTACAGAGAGTAGCAGAGAAGGACCTTACGTGGCATTATTTTAGTGGACGTTCACGAAGCTCTGTTTGAGAATATGTTCTGCCTCCGTTTTGGTATAAGGATGGATAAAGAGCCTTCCTGGTGCCACGTCACCTCCTTCTCTTCTTCTTCTTCTTCTTCACTAATGATTCATTTTCTCGTCAATCTTCTCCATTTTCTCACCAACCGAAGTCGTGGAAAAAAAAATTTCCCGCTGTTTTTTGTTAAAGTTTCATGTAGATGGCAGTTAAACTACAGCGACCTGGTCTCGTATCATCAAGGTAACACAAACGTACATCAGTTTCCCTTTCTCATCTTACTGTGAAATTTAGTGGAAAAAATTTTGGGATTTTTCCCTCCGACCATCTTCATTAGTGTTCGCTAGTAATTACCTTTCGAGATTGCTCATGTTGACGATCCTGCTCGTACCCTTCTCACTGATGGTTTTAGGAAAGCTTAGATTTTTTGTAAAATTTGCTACTTGACTAAAGTTGTAGAAGTGACGAGGAGCAAGTAGGAGTCGAACAATTAGTTTAATTTTATACCTTTTGCTAATGGTATATATGTCTTTTGCCGGATTGCGTCAAGATTTTACTTTGATAGAGGATATCGTTTGATTCAATTTTCCTTGAAAAGTTAAGCTCTTGTTGCCATTACTAAGAAGCTGATGAATGGATAGGATTTCGATGGCCTTCTCAAGGAATCTGATTGTTCCCAATAGGCTTTTCTTTTGCTTATTGCTTATTGCTTAATCAGTATTCTCGCCTATGTAGCTCTTCAAAACCATGTCAGCCGCAAATGTCCATTGTAACTTTTGTGTCCTGCAAAAAGGCTGTTCAATTGGATTGTTTATCAAATTGCTGGAGCAATCCTAGGAGCCAATTGTTTGTAAGATATGGTTTTCTCGAAAGGAGCAAAAATTGTCTTAATAGGCAATCGTTTAACAAGAAGAGATCACGGAGGCTGGTGCAGCCTTTTCTCCTTGCATCTGCTGAAGATGGAGTGGCTGTTAATGGCAGTCCCCAGTCAAGATCTAGCATGAGGGCCAAATTCACTGGATCATTACCAGACGGAAACAACTGTAATGGACTCACCCAGTCTCTCCACGATGCTGCAAGAATTCTTGAATTTGCAGTAAAAGAGAAGATTACTCCGTCCAGATTTTCATGGTTTTCAGCTACCTGGCTGGGTGCTGATAGAAATGCATGGGTGAAGACTCTTTCGTATCAGGTCTGTGCCTTTTACTTGCACTATCCCCTTTCACCTCAAACCGATGTTGGTGTTTACATTTGTTTAAATCCTCGTTCCACTTGCAAATGGAGTGCATCTTGTCAATGTTTTGTCTTCAATTTACTCAATTCATCTTACATTCATGATTCACAGGCTTCTCTGTACTCCTTACTACAAGCGGTAAATGAGATTTCATCCAGAGGAAATAACAGAGACGAGGATGTTAATGTCTTTGTTCAAAGGAGGTATTTGACATGAACCCAAGTGTTAATATGTTTTTTGCTTCCTATAAATTATCTCAGCTACTTCTTTCTCAAAGATTTTGTTTTTTATTTTTTTGTTTTTTCAACTTTCGCTGGTAGATAGTAATACTGAAATAGTTGAGTTATCAATACAACGGCTAAGTTCGCTCTCTTAGTCAGACCATCTCCTCCAGCTAAGCTATTCCTCATGAATCTCAACATGGCTATGTTAACTAGTGGATACAAACTTTTAAGCCTTTGCAGGACAATTAACGTTAAATTTGTGTGATATTCCTGCTTGTGTTGCTTTGTTGTATTTATTTCCCGCTTGCTCATCAATGTTGGAAATATTTCTGGAACTCGTCGTTGCTACATAACACTTAACCTCTGATTTCTTCGGCATTATACAGCTTATCACGCCAAGCTGCTCCCCTTGAGAGTATGATGCGGGATAACCTATCTTCCAAACATCCTGAAGTCTATGAATGGTTTTGGTCTGAGCATATTCCTTCTGTAGTGACATCTTTTGTGAATTATCTTGAGGGGGATCAACGATTTCTTGCTGCCACTTCTGTGTATGTTTTCTCGTTCAAATCTCCTTCTTTTTGGTTAAATTTGCTCCGATCTCGCCTCTTATTCGTAAGTACTGTGCAACACTAGTTTGACTGTGGAGTTTTGATGAAGTGACGACACTTTATGCTTCATTCCAGCTATGAAAAAGGAATGTCCTCAGCTGCAAGAAATGAGATTGAGGTGTCACTTCTCATGCTTGTGCTCAATTGCATTGCAGCAATCACGAAACTTGGCCCAGCAAAATTTTCCTGCCCGCCCTTCTTTTCTTCGATTCCAGATACAGCTGGAAGATTGATGGAAAAAGTTGTAGACTTCGTTCCAATCCCTCAAGTCTATCATTCAGTCAAAAGCATTGGCCTACAAAGAGAATTCCTTACTCATTTTGGTCCTCGCGCAGCAGTGGGCAGAGTAAAAGGTGACTTTGCTACAGATGAAGTTGTTTTCTGGGTCGATCTTGTACAGAAACAACTGCAGCGGGCTATAGATCGGGAGAAAATATGGTCAAGGTTAACAACATCCGAAAGTATAGAGGTAAACCACCTAAGCAGCTTTTTGTAGGCTTTCTTTGTAGTTGCGATATGAGTTCTTTGTAATTTTTAAATATCAGGAACGTTATGGATTGACTATAGATTACTCTCCTTGTTAGTGCCATTTGAAACATGAGAAAGTGGCACAAACAGTTTATAGGGGAAACCGCAAAAGGATATAAGAAAACGCTTTTAGAAAGAAAAAAAAAGATATTGGAAGATTTTAGTCAGTGATTCGAGTTTTAATGAGGGGTAAGATTTATGGCATTATACTTCTGGACTTAATTGGGACCTGTCCGTGCCTTGCAGGTTTTGGAGAGGGATTTAGCAATTTTTGGATTCTTCATTGCCTTAGGCAGGAGCACGCAGTCTTATTTAGCTGCAAATGGTTTTGATTCTCTGGAGAATCCTTTGAACGACCTTGTTAGGTAACTGTCACTGTTTCACTCTCTTTCCATTCCCACTAAATTTTGTAAGTGTGTGTTTCCTTATCACACTCTTGGCTCTTACTCGTGAACTACTTTTTAATTCAGGCATCTAATTGGGGGCAGCGTCCTGTACTATCCTCAACTTTCAGCCATCAGTTCGTACCAACTGTATGTAGAGGTAGGCATAAATCAATTCATTGGCCGAAACTCTCTCTCCAACCATTTTGATGTTTTATCATGTAAATTATTTTATTGTGCAGGTTGTTTGTGAAGAACTAGAATGGATTCCTTTCTATCCAAACAATACTGGCGCACAGCCCCAAAAAAAATCGCATGGGAGCAAACCAGAAGGGGCACCGAATTACGAAGTTATTCCCCAAGTGCTGGATGTTTGCTCGTATTGGCTACAGAGCTTTATTAAACATAGTAAATGGCCAGAGAATCCTTCTAATGTCAAGGCAGCAAAATTCTTATCCAAGGGGTATTGACATATTGTCTACTCACTAATTAAACCATATTTAGCTATCGTGTTAACTTTATTTCTTAATGTTTAGGTACAAGAGTGTGATTCGGTGCAAGGATGAACTGGCGATGTCAAAGTAAGATAACGAAAACCCCCTCTCTCTGATTTATACACTCATGCATGCATTTGGAAAATTACTCCACTGCCTGATTTGTATATTGTACTAATACTTGAGAATGTATAATAGTAGTACCTGCGAGAAAAAAATACTTAAAGCATATGTCTTGGATAAACTTTTCATTTGTCACATTCATGCCTATCAGTTTCTATCAATTCAGCAGAACATCTGCATTTGGATAACTTTCGATGCAGGATGGAAGTAACAAAAACCAGTTTTTTTACAGGGATACGTCGTCAGCTGTTAGAGAGTCGGACTCATTTGACAAGGTTGGTATGAATTGGTTTATTGGGAAGGACCGCTATACTCCGTATACTAGTTGGATCTGATTCCTTTTAGAATCGAATACAATATATATACTAACAGTACATAGTCCCCAGGCCCTAGAAAGTGTAGATGAAGCCCTCGTGAGACTGGAAAGCCTGCTACAGGAGTTGTATGTATCAAACTCATCGTCTGGAAAGGAACAGATAAAAGCCGCTTGCTCTGACCTAGAGAAAATTCGGAAGCTTAAAAAAGAGGCTGAATTTTTGGAGGCAACTTTCAGAGCCAAAACAGCTTCCTTGCAACAGGTTTTTATATTTCATTGTCAACTTTGTTTTACTATAATATATCTGAATGCTAAGGTTGCTAGGTGGACCAAAGCAAACCAATTGTATTCTTCTTACGCGGTGTAGCATCAGTCACAAAATTGCTAAGTGCATGATGTGTTTTAAATTTGTGTGGGAAACTAATACCTCATATGGTTGACTCAGGGAGGTGACGAAAATGATTCCCGGGAATCGTACGAGGTAAAACAAAGGTATTTTAAAGGGAAAGACACAAAGAATGCAATTAGTTCTGAAGATCAAGGCAAAAGGTATGCCACATATTGCTTAGTATTATTCCTCTTCACGTCTATTTTGTTATTTTGAACTACATAAGTGTGACTACTCTTTTTCCCATTCTTGTAAAAATGACGTATTTGTTGTTTGCCTCTGCAGTAGTATGAGCCGTGGATTCTGGGGATTTTTTGTACGGCCTCCAAAGAGTAAGCCTGATCCTGAGTTATCGGTAAGCTCCAATTTTTTATCTTATCTCAAGTATTCTGCCAACAGGATTGAAATCTTCTGAAGACTCTTCTGCATAGTAGTCTGTGTTTGTTCAGTCAGTTACTCAGGAATATATTGCGCATATGCAGGGAGATGAAAATAATGGGGAGTCCATAGGAAACTTACTTAGCATGGACTCGGAGACAAATGAGATCAGTCGATTTGAAATTCTAAGGAACGAACTGATAGAACTAGAAATGCGGGTCAAAAGAAGCACTGATCAGTCAGTGGATGAAGAGGTTAGTAATTAGTTGCTGCTGAGATGTCTTAACTGTAAAATGCTGTTTCAGTAATGAATTATTTGTTTTAAGTTGAATAAAATATAGATAAGCAAAACGGAAAATGGAGTGATACGTTGACCATTCCGTGAGTTTCAGTTGGATAAATTGATGGTTATAAGAGGAGTGATACGTTGACCATTCCGGGAATCCTACTCACGCAAACCAATGTCTTAGAAACTCTTAAGTCAAAGCCTATTCCTTTGTTGTGCTCTCAACTCTATTGCTTTCATTAAACTCCTCAACTTGGTAGAAGATGACCAATCAACTCTTTTTAGTAAACCGAAATGCTGGGTCTTGCGTCTATGTATCACCAGTAAAAGCTTCAAAGTGTTTGTTCGTATTCTGCAGGAAAGAATCTCTGAGGATGATCATCAATCAAGCAGTAGAACAAAAGGCGTTCAGTTGATTCAGATTCCAAAGAAGGAAAGCATGATGGAGAGAACTCTTCAGAAGCTAAGAGAAACCACCACGGTATCAATATCTCCTCCAAAGACTAAAGCTACATGGCATGCTTCTGTGTCCTTTGTTAAAATTTTTCCTTATTACAGGACGTGTGGCAAGGTACTCAGCTTCTTGCCATTGATTCAGCAGCTGCTGTGAAGCTACTTCGGAGGTCTCTGATCGGTGATGAATTAACAGGAAAAGAAAAGAAAGCTTTGCGCAGAACCATGACTGACTTGGCATCAGTTGTTCCCATCGGTATTCTAATGCTTCTTCCAGTAAGTCAAAAATAACCTTACATAGAAGTTTTATTGTTCACCTTTTTTTGTTATTCTGATCATCTTAAATAATTTGTCTATATTACACCTACCTACGTTTTTAGTTTGCTTTGTACAAACCTGTGGAGCTAATCTCTGCAGTGTTAACCTTTCTCATTCACAGCTCTATCCTTTAGTATGGAACTAATGTAATGAGTAAACTATTCTGAACAGGTTACAGCGGTTGGTCACGCAGCCATGCTGGCTGCGATTCAGAGATATGTGCCAGGCCTGGTACGTACACCTTCTCTGTATATATAGATCCATCAGAATGCAAAACCGTCTCTTTGAATCATTTTGATGATATCGTCTTCATTCAGATTCCTTCCACATACGGGTCAGAAAGGTTGAACCTATTGAGACAGCTTGAGAAAGTCAAGGAACTGCAAACAAATGAAACTGAGCCCGAAGAAGGAATCGAGGATATAGTATATGACTAGAAAGGAGTCGATAAATACTTGTACCTCTTTTCGTTTTGTTCGATAATTCATTGCCAATAGCTGCGCATAGAGAATCTCATTCCATGTGTCAGGCACACCGGGTAAGCACCAGTGACTGCAATCTTGAGGTGCATCTTCAGGAGTTCCCGGCTCTCGATAACGCGATGGATGAGCATCTTTTCTGAACTCGGTCAGATATGTAATGTTCAAAAACTTAACCTTACTATGTTCATATCTCATTTCTTGTATTACTTGAGAGATATAATTGTTGTGGATAGGGTCAGGTTCCATCTTCTTCATATCAATCTCTGGCTCTGTATCTGCATCACACAAACCACCCAAGTTCCATGTCCCATTCCTGCAACACCCAAAAAGCCTAATTAACCCCAGATTCTATAGACTCTTGTCTGATTCGCTGATTGTTGTGAAACAGACCTATAATGCACAGGAGAAAAGCTTCTGAAGAAGACATGACTACTCTCAGAATCTAGTCTCTCTAAAACCCATGACTTCCATGTCTTTAAAGACTTCCTAAATCCCTCCATTACTCCCATTGTCTTGTTCAATTTTCCTCCCTCCTGAAAATAGCAACCCCTGCAACAACAACAACAACAACAACAAAAGCTGGTAAGAGTACTCATCAATCACCTTTTGTCTTGTTTCCAGAACGTTGAATTCAACATGAAGACTTTACGCGTTAAAGGTTTTGTCTTCGTTCCACCAATGTCCTGTATTGAAGACCAGAACATCGGACCCGGTCCATTTTTTTGACTGCCAGTTAAACTCATCGACTCGAACAGTCATTTTGACATCTTCCGGTGAGTTCTCAGGTGGCCGAGCAACCACGACCAGAAACGGGGTTCTATGATATTCGACGGTTAGGTTGTGTTGCGGAAACCGCATCGAAAGGAAACCTTTATGCTTGCTTATAGGGTTTCCATTTACTTCATATATCTCAGATGTATTAGACACTGCTTGTGAAAGCATACACAAGAGAGATTCCCATTGGTTTCTTCCGATGGAATCTCCGATGAACACAATCCTTCCGTTTCGACTTCTCTCTAGAAAATCACTTGCGTTGAATCTACAATTGTTTCACACCGAATAAACCAAGTCACCTTAGTTAACGAACAAAGTAAAAAAAAAAAAAAAAATTGAACTTCATTGGCGCGAGAATCACAACTAAAGGTTTAAACTTTAAAGGTAATACCTTTAAGCCATAATCAATTCAAAATCAAAGTGGGGAATTTTTTTAATCAAACATGGGTTCTTAGAAGCACTGACTCAACGGATCAATGAATAGCTTGTAACTCTAAACTCTAAATGTTTTGTTTCAATCGAGACCAATACCTTAAGATCCAAGCAAAATTACATAAGAGTGTGAATAAGTATATATATACCGTGGAAGATCGCAGCCGTGTGGTTGCCATCGCCATTTTCGAAAACCAGAATCTTTTCTTCCATTATTCAGACAACGAAAACCAGGATCCAGAAACCGACACTCTTCTCCATACGAGGTTTCGTCCACGTCACGGCGTCCTCTACGAACCCATCTTCCGTATGAATAGTCGCATACGTCGACGTTTCTTCGTTCATTCGTTAGGCTTTTCGATGTAAGAGATAAAAATCCGAAACAAAGATGAGGCTCGAAGCCGGCAAGATCGACGACGATGACGGAGAATATTAGAAAACTAATGAGAAGAGAGATTCCTACGAATATGTGTTTCTTGATCTTAAAGGTTAAGAAGAACGGAGATGAAGATAGAGAGAAAATCTGCTTCAGAGAATTTGATTCTTGATGATGATCCATGTCGGCATAAATTTTGATTCTGTCTCTCTCTGTATAGAAGAGACGTGAAAATTGTGAATATGCGACCTTCTTTTGCTAGAGAAAAGTATTAATAAAAATATATATGTTCCGGCAGGCAATAAATTCGTAATTAATTTTTAATAAATTCACTATCAATTCATCCATGTGACAGACACAAATATTAATAGATGCATCCCACAAAAATCAATTAACGTATAATAATTAAAGAAGTTTCCTCCCATGTTCGCTTCTACATCTTTTAGATCGATACAACTGTCTAATCACCAAAAAATCCTAAGAAAATATGAAAGTACGTTACACCAAAAAAAAAAACATGAAAGTACATTTAAAAAAGAACAAAAAAAAATATGAAAGTACTGTTATTATATAATGAAATCAGATTATATGGAGCACAATTTATCACTCTACTAAATAAATTACATCAATCGCTAAACTTCTTTAATTAGCTCCATTCGATTGATTAGAAAGCCGTAGCTTTGCAATTGACCTAAATTTCACCCCACAATAACTCCATCTAAACACGACCTAACACAAACCACCGGTTAAACACAGTCAGAATGGAGATCGAAAATGAGAATAATCAATTCAAAGTAAAAAATTCAAAACACCTTGTTGATTTCAATTTCATAAAACTCTACTATTTGGGTCCAAAAAGGAAAATCATATGGCTTTGACTTTTAAAGCCCAACACGTAGAAAGAGAGAGAGAACACACTTCTTTGATCTAATGGGGATGAGAACTCTTGAAGAGAGGAGAAGAGAATAGAATCACGAACTAGAGAATAAAGAATACTTAAGTCCCAAATGTTTTATTTGCATTCATATTTGCAACTGCGTTACCATGTTATAATATTCTAATCATAGCTAGAAAAACTTAAACGCAAAGAAACAATTGGGACCTAAACTCATTTTGTCAAATATATATCTTGTAAGAACTATTCAGATATTCCTTCTTTGAAATGCAACCAAAAAAACACTAGAAAATGAAAAGAAGAATAAAATGGTCCCTAGGTTTGCTTTGGACCAGATAGAAAAGGCAATGTAAATTGTAACACAACATACATTTTGCACACATGCTATGCTCTCTTCTTTAAAATCATTTGCTAGGCCCACACTTTTTCTTCTTGTAATCTCATCCCATGAATCTCAACACTTCCCCATTCATTGTTCGTCATCATTATATATTATACATGCACATATATACACGTTACATGTGTGTATATATGTCTGGCTAACCAACTAGCTTCATTGAATTTATCTCAGATTCTCAGGCATCAAATAGTAAACAGTAAAAACTTATTAACATAGTTTGTAGTATTGTTTGTTGCTCTAGGCCTCAATTTTTGAGAGAACAAAAACTCTCCTCTTATTTCTTTTTGAAATTAGTTAAATATAGTAAATACATAATGAAGTTATACTGATATTAATCATTTTTGGGGTAATTTCTCTATGACAATTGAGCCAAGTATGGGCTCATAATCTAAAGTCAAAATCTAAAAAGCTGTCACTTCTTTTTAATATCATCAACCTCGTCCATCTCCTACTTGCTCCATTGCTTCCCCAGCAAATGAGATGCTCTGTTTCACAAAAGCAACACACAATTCTATTATTATTATTATCACTATTTTTTTTTGTAACAAGGGTACTACTATCACTATCTTCTTTATAAAAATGTAAGAGAATATTGATACAAAATATTTTTAAAATTTGATATTATTTTTCAATTTTTATCAGCTATTTAAATCAAATATATGTAACAGCATTCAGTTCAAAGTAATTTTAGAAATGTTTACCTAAACTCTGATATAGTTGGATATACTACCTAGTTAATGCGATAAAACTACAAGTTATCATTTACATAAATCTATCACCACGTTCTGAAGAACAATAATTTGGTCAATTTTGGTGTCTAAGTAACAAAAAGGTTATATACATTGAAACGGGTATAAGCAATAGAATTTGACTTTCACAAAAACATGACGGTGCCAAACATATAAGGATAGTAAAGCTAAGATAGATGGTTGAGGTATATACATATATATATATATAAATAAACTTAAAAAGAAAAATCAAGTAGGCTACAAAAGAAAGAAAGAAAATATCATGCTAGGCTACAATTTACAAGTTATCAACAATTTGGCCATGTGCGTTTACAGCCACAGTGTTGTATTATTCTCCCTGATTCCTTCTTTATATTATTTATTAAACAAAATCTCACTCAGGTCTATTTTAAAATACTAATTTCACCTGTCTCGTCTCGAGAAACAGCCACGGCATCTGTTTAATACTTTAATCAATTCGATTTATATCATAATCAACCAGATAGTACGTACTAACGTAAGCAAATCGAATATGACAGAAATGTAAAATTGTTTACCATGGGATTAGGAGTTGAGTAATAGTAAATGTGTTGGCCGTTATAGCCATCGGGACACGGTGGTGGCTCGACGACATCACCGTGACATTCGAGGTTAACGCCGAATAGCCTCACCGTCCTTGAGCTCCCTGCAACTACCGTTGGTGACTCAGCGACGGCGCCTACAATTTTCCACCGTTACGACACGTGCGCGTCTTTTAGTTATAAATTTTTAAGAAATTGAAGTAAAAGGAAGAAATAAAGAGCACGTTAGTCTAAGTAGATTGGACGGTTTTCTTCACGCGCGTGTAACGGATTGGATACACAACTTGGCGAAGATTATTGAAATTGTCGGATTTTTTTCTTTTGTCCAGAATTAAAAAGACATATAACGAAAAAACAAAGACATATGAGGACTCAGGTTGTTATTATATATACATACACACGCAACTGAAATAATTGTCGTATATATTTAGATGGAAAAAACAACCCATTTGAAGTTTAGTCCCGGCCGGTAACGTGTATAAGAAAAATGTCATAAAAAAAGAACACATTTATAAGAATTAAGAAAATAAAGATGAATGTCTTATAGTGTTTTCACTTATTAATAAATGATTTCAAATGTAAAAAAAAATTCCTTATTATTCATTTATTATTCTTAACAAATGAAACATTATATATGACCAAGTTATGAAACATGTATCTTCATGGGGAAAAAACATTATCTAAACCATCTGAAAAAAACACATTATCTAAAACAAACATTATTTTATAAAAAAACAGAACGAGTATAATAAATCTGACATAAAGATTTTTTTTTTAACTATCTGACATAAAGATAAGAAAGGAAAAAAAATAGAGAAAGGAAAAAAAGAGTTTTTACCATAGTGCGAATACTCATGGTGAATGTTAGGGTAAGTAGTTGACGCGTGTACTTGATGATAAGGTGTGGTCAAGCCGCTCCAATACGCCGTCGTATTAACTCGAGCCTCTTGAGACACGGCGGAGACGGCGGAGGAGGAAGAAGCCTCACCGCGTCTACGCCATCCGATGAAGAGCCTATGGAGATCAAAACGGTGCCGTTGAAAGAAAACGACGTCGCCTGCGTCGAGGTGCTTGTCTTTAACATACCTGCTCCATCCTTTGGTCAACACGTAGCTTTGACTACTGTTCCAATAAGAGTATCTGAATTTCCAACACTTGCCTGACTCGTCCTCGAAGCTAAGAAGCATCCCTTTCTCCGTCGTCTCCGCTGCCACATCATCTCCGCCGCCGCCATTGTTGAGAGGAAAGTACTTCTCGGCGTGTTGTTTTGGTATGACTAAGCGGTTTAGCTTCCCGACGTCGCTTGGTGTGAGTGATTTCTCGAATAAAGACTCTCTTTGTGCGACGGCGTCGTTTTGGTGGTGGTGCAACGAGAGAGTGTTGTGGTGGATGATGTCTCTTGAGTAATAGTTGACTGACATTTTTTTTTGGTTTTCTTGGAGTGAGAGAGAGATGGAGAGAGTAGAGAGGATTTGCAGAGGTTTGGTGGTGAAAGAGAGATGGGTAATGGTACTAATATAGTATTATACGAAGGAGAGAGAGAGAGGGAGGGAGTGAAAAATTGTGAAAATGGTTAAATTGATGTGAAAACTGTGGGAACTATTTGATGTAAATGAAGAGGAGGAGGACACGACATCGATAATACTTTTAAGGTTTTGCGTGATGATATTTCTTTTCAATCATTATTTTTATTTTTCTATTTTTTCCTTCTTTTTCTTTTTCCTTCTTTTTCTTTTTCCTTGTTGTTGCAGTCCATGACTCCATGTATATCAAGTAAACATTTCTATAGTTTTTGTTTTTGACAAAAACAAACAAAATTTCTAAAGTTTTGAATTTGTTTTTTTCTTTGTTCTCGCTTTGAAGAAATCTTGTCCTTAAACGGCATTGGATCCAAGGAGGTTCTATCGTTATTTATAGTGTAAGAATATAATGGTTTTATAGTGTTAGTGTGTGTGGTTTTTGTCGTAATATCAGTATTTTTCATAATAAATGGATGCGTTCATGAGCTTATATGGTTAAATATAAAGTCCGTGTGAAAAATATAAGAGTGAACTATAAATACATAAATATATCCAAAACATTTATCCAAGATTGGTGATTACGTTTGTTTTTTGAAGGACTGAAAATCACGGAACTTTAAATACTTTTTTTTGTTAAAGTCTATAAATACATAAATATGAAGTATTTTTTTAAAAACGATCTAAATACAAATCTTCTTTGAGAAACCATGAGTCAAAGAACTTCTGAATATTTAAAAAAGCCTGTTGCATTATTAATTACAAGATCTTATCGACTCTCAAGTTCTCAAAGCAGATAAACCTTACCTATCAAGCAGCCATAAATGTGTGGCTTGCGTGAGCCAGACGATCCTTTCTCACGTGGAATGCAATTCTGCTAATTATCGACTCACCATTGGTTCTAATTAGGAATTAAACTCCCATAAATGGTTGTTATGTAACCTCGTGCGTGAGAGAGAGGCTACAGCCTATAGATCATTTACTTTTTAATTATATGCATTTTCAGCTCCGAAATATGGTAGTTTGTTTAGCCGAGAACCTCACAAGTCACAACGGCCAGCTTATTTTGAAGTAGCGTTAAAATATTTGGAAGCCAAAAGACAACAAATTTCTTCCAGGCATTTGGTTAAAATTTCTTTGTCAAGGGTAAAATAAATAAATCATATGTGAGTTATACTTTTTTATTTTGCAAAGCAATTAATATTTATTTAAAAGATAAGGTTTTTTCTTCGTAAAAGCCAGTTTTGTTATCAATTTCATTAAAAAAAAAATCAGAAACAATCACTTGAATTTGAAAATTATATATTTAAGATTTTTTCATAGAGCCGATATAATCACATGATAATTTGATGTAACGCCAATTGATTATGCGTTCATCAACTTAAGTATACAGGTACCTTAAAACTGTAGAAAATGGTTTATACAAATGAGAATATAAGACAGAAAAACAAAAGACTTGCAATCCAGAAAGTAATGATGCAAACATAAAACATCAAACTATGAAAAAAAATATTTAGATTTTTTTAAAAAATTGTTACGGCTCTGTAAACGTAAAAGATAATATTTTGATAATTAAGTTTAGTTCTAATCAGATTAATAAATAACAATCACTTTCAATTTCAAATATAAGAAAACATAGTATTTATTAAATGAATATATATCATCAACATTAGAAAACAGAAAACAAATAAACAGAATGCAATGAAGAAAGAAATAGGGGGCGGGCGAGGAAAGGGTAGTGGGACCCAGAAAGGTGACGAAAAGATGATAATGGAAGACTATGATCTAACGGCAGAGAAGTGAAGAGGTACATATTAAGTAAAAGTAAGAAGGTACAGAGGATACTTACCCCTGACGCAAGTGAGAAGCTCAAGTTGTGGAGCATGTGCTTTGCCTTTCCGACACACCATCGCATGCATCTTCACTTCTACTTCATACCATGCCTTTTGTTCCTCTCTCTCTCTCTTGCTCTTTTTTTTCTAATCATTTTATAATCGAGTAAAATAAAGACTTTATAAGACTATTTGTGAAATCGACTTGACTTTGTCACTCTGTTTCTCTCTATTTTATCTAAATATAAAACTTTTATTTATTTTTGGAATTGAAATATATAAAAATTTACATTATGGAGGAACAATTAGGGGTGAGCAAGAAAACCCACAATTGCATTTTAAAATAATTATTAATCCCAACGAAAATCATAGTAGTATGGAAAATTTATCTTTTATGTTGGTCTCGTTTGTCGCTAAATGAGAGTAAAACGTCTAGTTATAGATTTTGCTTTCGATATCTAAGATGCTTGAGCAGATGTTGCTTTCTTCTTTGACGAATGGGTAAATTACCCCTGCCTGCTGTTACCATCCTATTTCGTGAACTTAATAAATAGTTTCCTGAAAATAAACATATATAAAACTTATCAAGTCTATTGAAAAAAAAAAAAACAATAGGACGTGCAAATGCTTACGTACGTGGTCCTCTTCTATTTTATTTGACAAATTTTTCCAAGTGTCGTTTTATTTAATTCTTATCATTTTTTAATTATAGGATCATGAAATATCTATCACGTGCTCTCAGGACACTATCATTTGTGCTTAATTACACGTTTCTAACTTTTTCTTACTTTCCTCGCAAAATAATACTAATGATATTTGTTTTTTTAGCAATAATTTCATCTAAAACACATTTCTCTAAACATAGATAACTTAACTAGTTAAGAGCATGTTATGTAGGTTCTAAGTTTCTAATTCATGTTTTAGAAGTTTTAGTTGAGGTCGAGTCTTGCGACGGTTATGACTGAAAATAATAATAATACTCATATAAAAAATAGCGGTAAAAAGATAGATTGGGCTTCTAATATAATTACAATAAGAATAAAAAACGAAGATTTGATCAGATTTGTTGCATCGGACTTTTACTAGGTATTAGTGTATTCGTGTTTCATCCTCTCCTCAGACTTAGTCCATGTCGTTTGATTATATAAGATCCGCATAGATGTCTTTTTTTTTAACATTTTTTTTTCATGAAATGTATACGCATAACAAACATGAGAAATATACGTAATACTCTTTTTAATGCTATTTAGCAACATATATGCAAATTATATTTACATATATATAATTATAGTCATTAGTCAATATTATATATATATATATATGTTGGGAAATGAACTGTTTTTGCAGTTGGTAGGAATAAACATTTGCTAAAGAATAGAAGTATATATTTTTCTCTAAATACTCTCCTGGTTAGTAATCTCGATCTTCCGTTCACAACCAAAACTATGAAAGCCGTTAATTAGTAGACAAGATAAAAAGCATAGTTTTAGTTAGACAATCAGTATATTTTTTGCATGGTGTTTAGAACTAATTAACTCTATCACTTTTGACATCAATTTTTTTTGGTGTTCGATCTTTCATTTACCCAAACAATGTTAGCTGAGACAGAAAAGATTTGTGGAGCATTTCTTTGGAATGGTAATCAGAACCAGTGAGCAAAGCTTAAGGTTTCTTTGGAGGAGGTATGTATTCCAAGAGTGAAGGAAGATTAGGGATTCAGTGTTTCGGGTCTTTGCTATGAATCTGATTTGGAAGTTGTTTACACTGTCAGGGCTCACTTTGGATTGATTGGAATTGGAAACACTTGATGAAGAGTGGTTCTTTCCGGGATGCTAAGGACACATCAATAGGTTACTAAATATAAAGTAAATTATAAAATGAAATGAAAGTTTGTAACGTCGATTCTATGGTCGGATAGTTAGAGTTCCGATAGACGGTTAAATGATCATACAGTGATTTTGATATTCGACAACTTGGAATCAAAAGGCTGGCTAAGATTTTCGATGCAACGACTTCTTCTTCTTGGCGTATTAGAAGATGTCAGTCAACCTCAGCTTCAGTCATTGGTTTCCCTAATCTGTTTTTTTTTTTTTTTTTTTTTTTTAAGGACGACAAAACTGACCTTAATTATTTTCCAGGTCGATTTAGATGCATCTTTTGGCTTGTACGTCTACAATTCGACCCCATTCATATCTATTAAACTAACTCTTCAATTAACTAGTAGTCATTTTTTCGAATTAAATATTTTGTTTAAGTCAAACTAGATTGATTGTTTACTATTGAAGTACTGATTAATAAATATAGCACATGACGGGGGGCATATCCTTTTCCATGATAATAGAGGTTGTTGGTCGCTAGCTAGCTTGCTTCCATACTTCGTCTTTTAGTTTTAGCTTGTAATTATATTTTATTCTATTTTATTATCTAAAAGAAAACCAGGTGTAACCGATTTTTTTTTTATTCCTTCTACATTACTTATCATGATCAAAAGAAAAATCATAACAAATTGAAAGAATGAGAATACAATTACTTCTAATGTTTTTTAGAGGCCCCTATCTAATTTATGTTTACCTACGACAATAAGAAACGTTGGAAATAAAATTATGATGATAAAGTACTCATATGTATTTTTTTGTGGAATTATTTCATATTGATATATGTATGTTCACGAGTAAAGACTAAAGACAAACCATTCATAAGCGGATTTGAGACAAGAATCATAAGAGAAACATTTATAAAATGATTCGTACTTCCTAGTCGTATACAGAAAAAAATTCATCTTATTTTATAAAGTATTTCGACTAACAATTTCTTATCAGAAGCAATTACTCAATGAGACACAGAAAATAGTTACTGAAATCTTACTTCGTATTATTAGTTTGGACATTAGTTAATCATAAAACGTAAAAAAAACATCTTATCGTGATTATCATTCTCGTAATCAAATGATCAAACTATAGAGAATTAACAGAATACATGATTCTTTTAATATTTATATAGAATTCAAAAAAACACGATAATCCTTTGTAAATTACAGTCAAATCTTTTTTAGATAAATGTAACTTTTTTTTAGATAAATGTAGCTAGTCATTGAATTTTTTAATAAATATAAATTATGGTATCATTTTAACTATTTAAATAAAAATGAAAGAATTTCGATTGGAAGTAAAATTCAAAGGACGCGAAAATTGTTTGTAAATTACAATCACATGTTATTGAATTATATATCATGAGTT